AAAAAAAAAAGGACATTCTGTTTTTGTGGTCTTTGATCGCGATGTCTTGGTCATTAGCTTTGATTGTTCTGTCTGTGTGTCTTGTAAAGACCCATAAAATTGTTACAGGTCCTATCTCTGTAACTGGGTCTCGGTGAGGTTCATATCAGTTTCTTGTAGTTTCCTTCCCGTGAAAGTTGCATATTTTCCAGTGCAGATATTGGCCCACTCTATCATTCCGAGTTTTATATTCAATGGCTACTAACACTACAACCTGATCCAATATGGTCAATAGTTTCTGGATATTTCTATATAGTTATACCAAGTTTCTTATTGTAGTTGGTACTCGAACGATAGCGAATTTCATCAAATCCACAAAACCTTCATATTACTCTTGTCTGCTCAAGCACGGTTGTGGTCTGAAAAATTTCAACCTTTACTCAAATATTCCACTTCTTTCCTCTCTCGCCTCATTTTTGAGCGGTGTTTTTTACCGGCAACTAGCCTGTCTTTCAACTACTTTAGTTATCGGGTAAAGTCCTGGATAGGATTTTCCTCAGTGTAATCCACAAACATTTCAACCATAACCCTTTACAAAATCGTCAATAAGAACAATGTTAAGATTAGCTACAGCTGCACCAAACACCTTGAGCAACATATAGCAAAGCATAATAATGTAACATTAAATAAATACTTAAACAACCCCAATAACAATATTAACACAGAAAAAAGTGTAATTGTCAATAAAACATTAACTGTCCAATAAATTATAAATGTATGTATAAAGGTGTCATCTGCAAGACTAACATTAAGCATAATGGCGGGGCCAGATTTTATTTCAGTTCCAAAGCCAACCACTGGAAAACCCAGTATTATTACCCTAAAAGGAGACTTAACAATAAGCAATATGCAAATGCCACGGCACTCTCAAAATTTTACTGGAATATTAAAACAGATGACTATACACCGGTAGTAAATTGGAACTCCGTCGCCAAAACTACACCGTTTTCCGGCCGCGGCGACCAATACAACCTGTGTTTGCTGAAAAAAAAAAGATTCAACCTCAAAAATATTAATGACCGAAATCTACTTAATAAACGAAATGAACTCATTTTAGCTTGCGATCACAGAAAAAAAAAACTCTTTTAAATTATTTTAATTCTGGATAGATAAATTATCCAAATGTCACATGCCCTATAAATATTTTGGGTTACATATTGATTACCTCCCCTTTAACAATTTTAACGTCTAGTAATAGTTAACGAATTACCTGGCGTTCCTCTTTTAATCTTTAAGCTTACATCTTTTTTTTTTCATTTTACTATAGCCCCCCTCCCTATCTACACTTGACATTTTGTATTTACGCCCCAATACTATATTAAGTCGATATTAACTTTGAGCTTTGAATCTGCGTTTAATTTAGCGTTCCTCCCATGAGACCCAGTATTTTTTTAAAAGCACAACCGTAATAGTTCGTACCTGATGTGTTGGTAAAACGACGAAACTTTAATTTGCACTATGAACGTAGATATATGCATATTTATTGATATATACTTCTTAGCTCTGTCTAACCACATTGAATACTATTTTGGTTGCGCCCTATATTAGATTAAGTAAATATTTATTCGCTTACCTGTCTATGTACGCTAACGCACGTATATACAGTTGCTAATATCTAATGATTTTGGTTTATATCCACATTTATACATATGTGTGTGTGTGTGTGTGTGTGTGTGTGTGTGTGTGTTGTGACATACCTACAGACCATAATGGGTATGTCCCCATTCACAAAATTACAGTAGTAAATACTGTATGTTGGTCTGCAGTTGTAGATTCATCTCCAGCTGTGCTGGTCAAACTCTCTACCTCCGGGGAGAAGAGGATCCCCAGACGAAACAGCTACCCGACCCCGTTTTAGTCTACGGGGAATTTTTAGCCGAGCCAACGGGCTCGGATACCCCACATTAAATTCGGCCTTCTGCCACATCTGACCGCGTGGGGCGGTTGATATCCTGCAGTTGGAGATTCATTGTGGAATTCACTTGACTCACTTCCAGCAGTTGACTACTTCTACGCGCCGCTGGAGAATCTTATATGTGTTGTTCTTGTCTTATGTATTATCGTTCATTATCAACCTTCGTGTGATTATTCCATCCAGTAACCTTCCGTAGGTTACAACAATATATATATAGAGATAGATAGATAGATAGATAGATAGATATGTGTAAATATAAACTAAAAATCGAGATATAAGTAGCTGTATACGCGTGCGATAGCATGCATACGCAAATAAGCAAATAAATGTTTATTTAATTTAATTTATGCTGCAAACAAAACTAATATCGGAAGAATGTTTCTAGATTTAATTCATAAACACTTTAACCATTCACCAACACTAAAAAAGATTTTTAACAAAAATAATGTTAAGATCAGCTATAGCTACGTTAATAACATCGATAAATTTATATCCCAACATAACATTATATTAAAAAAAATATGTTTCCAACAAAGCAAGGCTATTTTTTTTAATAAATGCAACTGTGGAAATGATCTGTCCCTTAAATGGTCAATGTATGAGTGATAATGTTGTATACCGAGCTCGCATACATTCTAGTAACGATGTTACATTTTATTTTGGTTCCACTGAAAATCTTTGAAAATTTCGTTTTTACCATCATCGAATGACAATATAAAATACAAAAACAGAACTGCTCTCTCTAATGCAGTGAACAGAAACACGCACACAAATACAAACACGCAGTAAGACGCGCATGCGCGACCACATAAATATACATGTGAGGATATGTGTGTGCCAATATACGTGCATATACGTGGGAACACACATAAACACACACTCGCACAACCATACATACACACGCACACACAAATCCAACCATAACCTTAACTAAACGGTCAAAATAAAAACAATGGATCAAAGATCAAAGGAAAAGGCGAGGAAAGAATGAAAGAAAAAAAAAGGAAGGAATAGAAATAAGAAACCAGTCAACACCCATCAAGCGAAAAGGAAAGTAAGACATTCATACCACAATAAAAGTACAAAAGAATCGAGAACTATTAACAGTTTAACTCTGTTCTGACGAGTGTCTCAATCTACATAGCCACGAAATTTCGAAGTAAACATGAGTTAAGTAAATATATATATATATATATATATATATATATAAGTAACTACACTCGTCTCGGTAGGTTTGTTTGGCTCTCTAGGCTTTATATATATATATATATATATATATATATATATATATATATATATATTAATTCTTTTAACAATCTATCTTTATCTTCGATATTGAGCAGTCTACCACAAAGCCTGTTTACCTTAAATGCCCCTTTATCAGCAAACCAGTGAAAAACCAGCCATTTTGACTTCAAAAACAGACTTTAAAATAAAACTATATATATATATATATATATATATATATATATATATATAATTGCTGGCCACTCGTATTCGAGGGTACCCTTCTATTAGGGCGGCTAGTCAATCCCTACTGCAGACGCTCGCTCAGGCACAATTGTATTTGCTCAACACCCAGAGAGCCCACTTGTGGTTTATACTGCAACTATTCTGAACAGACCTTAGTTACAGTTTCTGGGAGAGAGCGTGATATCTAGCGTGATCAACAATTTGAACAAGGCCAGCACGCTCAAGCCCTCAGCTATCGACGGCTCACAAGAGTTCCGTCTACCCAATTTCACTCAAAGGCTTGGGTCATCCCGTGGTATGGTTTTCAGGCCCTTTCCAAAGGTGCTGCATGCTGGGATCGACATCGCCTTCCTGACAATTCGACCGGGTCTCGTGGTCAGAAAGCGAAGGTTCTAACCACTCGGCCACGCGTTTTCGCTGTTGCTCTCTCTCTCTCTCTCTCTCTCTCTCTCTCTCTATATATATATATATATATATATATATATATATATATATATATATATATATATATATGTCTTGTCTCCTTGATTTAAATGGGGTAGTCTGGCTGAATATAAAAATTCCAGATTATTTTTCCTTCCTTTTACTCTTTTTATTTTCTATTTAACACAGGTTTTTCAAAATTTCATTATTCCTCACTTAATTTAACGCTAAACCCAATTTTGACTACTCGATATACAAAACCCAAATCCCGTCATTAAATCTAGAACTTGCCGACCAACATCTGCTGCAACGTTGAGAAAAACTATCTTTTATCTTCTTTTTTTTTTACCAGCTGGAGCTTAAAGCAATGAGTCGTCTTGAGTCTTCGGTAATCTGAACATCGCCATTTTTATCACAACTCGTTAAGATCCACACGGTTCTGTAAGCATAGACATATTCAAATGAAGGAAATCTTCTGCATGCGTATGCAGAAAGTTATCTGCTGTGGTAAATGTATGATACAGATACACGCGCATACAGGCACAATTAATAACAAATCAATAAAAATACAAGCGCTCACATACAAACACAAACACACGCATATTTCCACGTGCGCTCTAATCTAAAAGCAACGGGATACATGCACACACACACACGCGCGCATGCGCATGCACTCATCTGTCTCGTGTGTACGTATGATGAAGTGAAACTGGAAAAGCATAAGTCCATTTTGGTGTGTTTTTTCTTTTCTTTTTTCTGTCTTTTTTCATCTTTCTCTTCCTTCCTTTCTTTCAATATATATATATATATTTCCGGAGTTGTTTTTTTCTGTTTTCCTTTTGAATTTGTAGGTCTGATGATTTGGATCGTATTTACGATTCCAATGGAATAAATTATGACCATGGAATATTAGTGTTTAAGCCTTTTTATTATATCCTTACTCTGTCCTAGACATTGAGTTCTACCTGGATCCTTCCTCTTGGAAAATTTTTTTTTTTTTTTTTTTTTTTCTGAAAATATACATGTATGGGAATTTTTTATATATATTTTGCATATGTATGTATATTTTCCACTAATATTATATATATATATATATATATATATATATATATATACTTAAGTATACCTTCATTCTCATAACTATGAATGTATGTATAGCTGTCACTCATTCTCTCTCTCTCTCTCTCTCTCTCTCTCAATATATATATATGTGTGTGTATGTGTTTGTGTGTGTGTGTGTATGTGTGTGTGTAAAGTGTGGTACTGAATCTGTGTTTATCTTTGATTCTCTTGGAAGCGGTGGTAATGATCTTAGTGTCAGGATAACAAATTTGTCCTCAAGCTTTGTTCATAGAGTTGGAAGTCAGGATCATGAATTTTGTATATTCGTTGATCGTAGTGTCTTTGTTGTCGTGGTGCCTACTTTGGTGGAATTATAAACTTTGTAAGCTCGTTTTTTTTTTGTTTTTGTTTTTTTTTTTTAGCGTTGAGGCTGAAATGATGTGAATAGCGAAAAAATTTAAAATGTTTTTCAATGTATTTGTCTTTTTCATTTAGATATTCTGTTCTGTATATTGGTTTGTATATTGTAAGGTTTCTGAAATAAATAAAAAAAATTTTTTTTAAAAAACTATGATAAGTTCTGATGTTATTTTATGGGCGTAGTGGGAGTAAAAATTGATTAAGTCATTGTTAGTGGGTTTTTGGTAAACTTTAAAATCTAATTTGTTTGTTATTTTTATTAATAGGACGGTAGCGGTTTATTTATTCATATTTATATTTTTATTTATATAAATATAGCATACCACACGCACACACACACACACATATATATATATATATATATATGCGTTCTGATCGCCTGACAATCGCGTTAGCTTTAAACTCGAGTAGTAGTCGGAACTTTGACTTTAGCAGTGTCCCTAAGTAGCATATTTGATTTTTCTTACTAATTTAGGCATAGATAACATTTTTTCTACGTGTGTGCCCAACTTTATTTTTTCTTCTCCATGTCTGTTTCCTTTTCCTTTTTTCGCTTTTGATTTATTCGTTTTGGTTTTTCGTTTTATTTTTTTTTATATATACGTATGAGAAAAAAGTACTAAGACATATCACTATAGTAATTGAACTATATACTTAGTTCATGTCATGTTAACTGAAAAACACTTGTAAACAAAAGAAATTCGTGGATTTACGATATTACAAAATTCATATAAAAATTCTCACTTGAAATTTTGAACTTTAGCGTTGCGACTCGCACGTTCCGAGATTGTACAACCGTCAATAAATTGCATATTCTTTAAAAAAAACATCTTTCGGTCTACAAACAATTATTTCGTCTTCAAGTTTTAACTTTAAAGAAAAAAAATTACAGCCTGATGATGAAGACATGGATCTTCGAAAGTGCTTGCTTAACTTAAAAAAATTTACACTAGAAACACCTGACAACAGTTTTATAAATGAGGATCACATCATTCAATGGATTATTTTAATGCATACATTATGTTCTACTAGCGAAGTGATTTCGTCATTAATCGCATTAATATTACTGATTGATTCTATGCATGATTATTTCTTTATATATATATATATATATATATATAATCATATTATTTTGAACGTTATATTTACTGGATATATGTGTTTCAATCGTCATGAGTAGTCATCCTTGATTTTAAACAATGCAAATCTATGTCTTTATATTAGAAGAAAAGGTTTTTTATTGTCCCGAGTTTTCAAAAAACCGTGGGTGCTGGGAACTTTTGCACAAATCTAATATATACACAAACAAACACAAAATCACATACACACACACACACACACACACACACAGAGGCGCGTGGGCGTGAGATTCTAGCCAAAAGTTTCAGGAACTTAAGAAGCAAATATGGATTCTTATAAAAGAGCCAACAAGATAATTCATGGCCTGGTCTAACAAAGGACGGAAAGTGCGACACTGCGATCCGAAGACGTATTGGGATGACCAAAGATGCCTTCCAAAAGCTAAGCAGAGTATTAAGAGACAAAAAAAATTCGCTAGAAACAAAGAAAAGTGTACTGGACTGTTACGTGATATCTGTCCTCCCGTATGGCAGTGAATGCTGGACAATCTTCTCAAAGATGAAGAAGAGGCTTGAAACAACCAAAATGTGGTTCTACAGAAAGATGTTGAGGATGCCATGGACCGAACATGTGAGCGAAAACGAGGTTTTGGAGAAAATGGAAACAAAAAATAACTTATACTTAATATCAGGAAGAAATTTCTCGGGAAAATAAGGAGAGAGGAGGACTTTGAGAACCCGATACTCACAGGACAGACCTGAAGGAAAGCGGGACAGTGGAAAGCAGCGCGTAACATACTTGATGAGCTTGGATACTTACCTGATGCAGGGATCCGTCCCTGCGTAAGCAGCATCACGGCTATGACTAGCTTGGACCGGCTCCGGCCTGGACCAGCTATGACCAGCCAAGACCAGCTATGAATAGCTTAGGCCAGATCTGACCAGCTTGGACATGCTACGACCAGCTAAGACCAGCTTGGACCTGCAGCCTGAGTGAAAACACTCGGGTCCCCACGTTAAAAACTGACCTTCTCATTCAAGTAAATATCCATACTTGATGAGCTTGAGCAAATAAAACAGGGTTTGGAAGAAATCCAATACTTATTTAGAGCTAGAAGAGACAGGATGGAGTGAGGGGCCATGAATCTGCTACGTTCTGAAGGGACACGACAATGAAAGATTTCAAGAGATGTATGAGATTTTCGAAGTGTCATATAATCGAGTGATTCATCTGTTCAAATTGCTTGAACCTTTGGATAGCCCCACATGTGTGTGTGTGTGTGTAGTGTGTATGTGTGTAGTGTGTGTGTGTGTGTGTGTGTGTTTGTAGTGTGTGCATGTAGTGTGTGTGTGTGTAGTGTGTGTGTGTGTAGAGTATGTAGTGTGTGTGTAGGGTGTGTGTGTGCTTGTGTGTGTGTGTGTGTGTGTGTGTGTGTGTGTGTGTGTGTGCTTGCGTGTGTGTGTGTGTGTGTGTGTGTGTGTGTGTGTGTGTGTGTGTGTGGTGTGTGTGTGTGTGTGTGTGTGTGGTGTGTGTGTGCTTGCGTGTGTGTGTGTGTGGTGTGTGGTGTGTGTGTGTGTGTGTGTGTGTAGTGTGTGTGTGTTCTTGCGTGTGTGTGTGTAGTGTGTGTGTGTGTGTGTGTGTGCTTGCGTATGTGTGTGTGTAGTGTGTGTGTGTAGTGTATGTGTGCTTGCGTGTGTGTGTGTGTGTGTGTGTGTGTGTGTGTGTGTGTGTGTGTGTGTGTGTTTGCGTATTTGTGTGCCTGTTTGTGTGTGTTCCGTGTGTGCTCAACGCGTGCGTGTAATTACTTAAACTTGACTTTAGATAAAATCGGGTTTGCATTCCGCCGTATATTTGAAATCGCCTGGGTATTTAAAAGAGTATTTTTATCCAGGGGCGACAATAGACCAATGCTCTTCTCTGTCACACCATTTAGCATGCCAGTGACGAGACATTTTGTCAAAGTGATAATGAGACTGGTGGCAGGAAGAATTGCATTGGTAAGTTTTCTTAAGGACGGGCGGGTAACTTGAATATCAACATCTTCAGCTTGGAATTCGTTTCTTGGTTTTCAATGATGATAATTGTTTCACTCTCCGCATTCTTTCTTTATTTCCTTCTCTCTGTAGACCGCTCTCATTTTCTTTCCTCGCTCTCTGTTGATCTACCTCTCTCTCTCTCTCTTCCCCTCTTTCTTACCCTTTCTTTCTGTCGCTCTATTTTTCGCTCTCTTCTTCTTTCCCATGTTCGCTTTCTCCTCATTTTTCTCTTGCTCTTCCTCCGTCCTCTCACCCTTCCTCTCTCTCCTCCTTTCTCAGTCTTTTTCTTTCATCCTCTGTCGATCTTCCCCCTCTATCTCACTTCACTCTCCTTTTCTTTCTGCCTCTCTAGCTTTCACTCTTCTTTCTCTCGTTCTCTCTTACCATTATTCTCTTACTCTTCCTCTCTCTTCACTCTCTTTCTCTCTCTCTCTCTCTGTCGATCTTTCACAATATCTCCCCTCTTTCCTACTCTTTCTTTCTGTCTCTCTATCTTTTACTGTCTTCTTTCTCTCGCTCTTTATCGCAATTAATTTCTTGCACTTCTTCTCTCCGTTTGTCTCTCCTTCTTTCTCGCTCTTTCTCTCTCCCCATTACTCTCTTGCTCTTTCTTTTTCTTCTTTCTCTCTCCTTCTCTCTCTCTCTCTCTCTCTCTCTCTATCAATCTTCCTTTCTCTCTTCCGTATTTCTTACACTTTCATTCTGGCTGTCTTTCACTTTTTCTTCTTTCTGTCGCTCTCTCTCCTTTACTCTTCCTCTCTAACCCTTTCTCTTTTTCTCTTTCAGTCTCTCTTTTTCTTCTCCTCACTTCCTCTCTCTCTCTAAGAATCATATTCATCAAAGACTACATCGTGACTCACAGGAGAGAATTGACGTCATAAATAAAACTACTCGATGACTTATGTATTTATAATAGGAAAAGTTTCTTTCGTGACCAGCCAACACAAACAGAATCTACTAAATTTATACCAGTCGAAGTAGCAATGATAAATGTTTATTCTTTCTTCTCTACTTCGAGATCATAAGTATTTCACGCCGTATTTAGGCACCATCATTGATAGTATTCTTGAAGGACATTTCATTGTCCTAGAGAAAACTATTGTATCTCGCCGATTCGTACCAAAGTTACATTAACAATTATACTTGTTAATACCAAGAATAACAAAAGGAAGGCATTACTGTATTATCATATCAATCTCCCTCAGTCTTCTAAACATCGTTTACCTTACGAGTTGAACTTTGTGACAGATTAAGCTAAGCTAAATTGTTGATTTAGACACAAACTCGTGTGCTATAGACGAGATGGCTTAAATTTCAGAACGATATAATTATTAGGTTGTTCGGAAAATTATGTCCGATTTTAGAATAAATTTTCTAATATATTATTATAATCACTGCACAAAATATATTACTCATTCCTAATGATTAAAATTTCCTCTCTGTTGATGTTATATCAATCACTTTCAGAATCAAACTAAAACGTCATATACTCCTCATCTTGAACTAGAAAAAAAGAAATACTTTCTATTTTTTTGCCTCATTCAAGATTGGTCATAATGATTCTCAAATCACTGTCAACATTAGAGCATAGGGTGAAGGATCCACTTTGTGATCGGACAGTACGATGTTAGTTCCTGAAGTTCCGCGATGCATATAGGTTGTCTTGAAGATCAAGGTTGTAGAAGATGCATATCTGCAATTGGCAATCAGCATCTGAAAACACTTGCACCGAATTATATTTTAGGCACTATCACTGATAATATTCTTGACAGACAAAGAAATGCCCGATTCGTACCAAAATTGCATTAAAAATTATACTTGCTCTATAAAAGGTATCTATTACCATATTACTATTGTAATGACAAAAGTACGCAGGTGTAGGCTTTGAGAAAGCTTTATACAACTGAGAATACAAAGTCCGCGTATAATGTCCTTTTATAGTCCCAGTAAACAGAAATAGCTCTCTCAAAGAAGAGAGTAACTAAAGAAAGAGAGACCACTCTTGATTATTCATAACTATATCAATCTCCTTCAGTCTTTCAAATCTCGTTTAACTTGCAATTTCATCTTGTGTCCGATTAAGCTAGGTAAATAGTTCTAATTGTTGATTTATACACCATCTTATGCCACAGACGAGCTTCAATTACATACTGATCTAATTAAATCGGGAATAGCAAAAGCATAAAATCCGTAAAAAAATTAATTATTAAGTAAATCTTGTTTAACATGAACATAATAGAATCGTTTCTAAATGCTGTGTTTATACGCAATGAAATGCCGAAACCGATGCGAACAATCGTGAATTTTGTCGGAAAAGCCATACAGAACCAAGGCAAAAGCGAATGAAATCTAACAACCAGCGACGATGAATGAAAAACGAACTCATAAAAGCATTTAGACTGTGGAGCAGTTCTGACACAAAGAAAGGTTGGGTCAGAGAAGAGTAAAAGATTCGCAGTAGTTTTCAATATAGCGCTCACGAATAATTTAGCACCTTACGGATAATTTTGATCGGACGTCTTTCCTCGTATACGTGGGTTTCGCCTAGCGTAGAGCCATGCTCGGCGAGTTTGCCACATCGTTGTTCGCGTAGTGACTTATATCTGATTGCTATATAACTGCAACCCTGTACCAGACAGAGATCAAAGTGAAATTATTCTATAGCCTGGCAGTCATGGAATAATTTGATGGCCAGAACATCATGCAAGTTCATCTGAAAGTGTGCATTTTGAGATAGATAGATAGATAGATAGATAGATAGATAGATAGATGTTTCACACCGGATTATATTTTAGGCACAATCACTGGTAGTATTCTTGAAGGACAATGATCTCACTTCGTCTTCCAAACAACGTTTATCTTACGAATAAAAAACGAATTAGGCTTAGTTTCTGTAATCTCTTCTTAAAATATGCATACATAAGCTCAGATGTGAAGAGGTGGTCACTGATCCTTTAAGCATTTCATATCATATTACAAATGAATCAAGAAATCGAAAACGGCGTTCGTGCTTCCACTCCATAGGCCATGTACATAAGGTGAGGGTGGCTACACCGATGATATAACTATTCATAGTTGGGATAAGAATGATTTTGAAAAATAAATCACATCCTCTACCTTATTCTACAAGAAACAAGACTCAAAATAAACTTTTCCAAAACATAGACTTTTATCTGTAATTGGAATGAAAGTAAAGAATGCGAATACGCTGAATCCACCATTAAAAATTCAGGATGTGGAATTAGTAAATTACTTCATATACGTCAGTGTATGGATCAGTTATTAAAAATTTAGTAAAGGAGATAAGGAAATTGAACAGAGAATAGACTGTGCTAGAGATAGTTTCACACAACTCCACACGTTGCTACGAAACTCGAGTCATATTCTTACCCTTGTCAGATCAAGACTTTCATATAGACACCATGGATGGCGCCAGTTTCGTTCAGAGCTGTCTAAACCGTCGCCTGTATACAACCACTTTCACAGAACGATGGTTAAAATTAGTTTCGAGAGAGTGACAATCTTTCGTCGAACTTCGTGATTTGGCGCTACAGAATCACAAACAAATAACTATACCCGATAACAGAAACCACATCACTTGAGGACAACAACAACAGTAACAAAAATGGATAGCGCATGTAAGAGAGAACAATGATATAATCAAGATGATGACGTTCTACAATATCCCAAAGAAAAGGCAAACGAGGAAGTGAAAACACCCACCTACCACCACCACCATCAGTACTGAAAGGAGTGATAACAGCTACTGGACTTGAGAAACCTATTTTCCTGAAAAAAATGTTCTAAGAGAAAGATTCTATAAATTTTAATCGAAAACAGTATTTGCTGCTCCGTCAACGGGTGACGAATATCTCCTTATAAGGAAATAGATAATATTACCATTTTTATGAGGTACCCAATTAGAATCGAACTTACTACTCAACTAGACTAGTCTTGCTAATAGTTATTCTATGCCGAGACGACGATTGACTGACAGATAGATAGATAGATAGATAGATAGATAGATAGATAGATTGCTTAAACTTTAAAATTCCATCTCCTTTCTTTATAGATAGATAGATAGATAGATAGATAGATAGATCTATCGCCTGGTCGCATAATGTAAAGCCGTCTTGAAGCTGTACTTATTCGCGCTGATTTCCGTTCAACCGGATTTGTTTCTCTTGTCATCTTCCGTTGTATTTCCTTACGAAATGTTTTCTTTCGTCTCTAAAATTCCATTCACGATAATCACTCATCTTTATTATTTCGACTTCTGCACGGATGCTTTTCAATATAAACTGGCAAGATCGAAAACTTTGTTGATAAGGTCACTTTAAACGAGGCTCTCTTCTTTTACACACGATGCGTTGTTGCTTTGCTTCGTATCCAATTCGTGTGCCTTTTGGGAATATTTTCTCGTCATTTAGCTTGATGACACCTCAATGCCTAAAAACAAAATTACACGGGCAGACAGAAATATGTATTTTAAATGCATGTTCAATACTTTTTTACAATACATTAATCATTCTTGATAGGCCAAGAAACTTCTTCTCTATTTATTTTTTCTCTAAAGAAATAAAGGATTCGTTTCTTTAAGCCACAATATTGATTTCAAGTTTTGCTCGAGAGCCCGACTTACATCTTTGTGTAAAAGAAAACACATTCGGTTATCTGAATAAGATACATGCCACTGGGCGCCTACATTAAACGTCGTTTAACCATCTCATCTCGTAAAATATTAATTCTTGCAGCACGTTCGATCCTTCCTCACAGATGAAGAAAAAACTGGAGGCAACAGAAATATGGTTCTACAGAAGGATGCTGAGAATACCATAGACAGAGCGCCTTAGCAACGTATATGTATAAAATGGAAACAAAAAAGGAGACATACTCAGAATCAGATAGAGACTGCTGAAATTTCTTGGACATATAATGAGAAAGGGGAGCTTGGAGAATTTAACACTCACAGGGCATATCGAGGGCAAGAGAGACAAGGGATCACCTCGGGCCACATATCTGATGATCTTATGTAAATGGATTGCAAAACGGGACAGGATATTTGGAAAAGGGCTACAAGGAATAGGACATTGTAGAGAGCCAGTATCGCCCACGTCCTAAAGAAACACGGCACGTGGGAGATGTTCGATCCTAACTTGAGGTCTCACCTCTATGGAATTTTGTGCTAGATTAACACAATGTATTGTTTTAATCGTTTCACCCCAAGAAAGGCAATAAAGCCACTAGGACGCAAGATGTTACCGAGAGTTAGAGAACATGAGAAAAATTATTAGTAAGGAGAGAGGACAATAAGAGAACAAGAATTAAAATGACAGAAAATAACGATTGACATTGCATTTAAATTTTTAAAGATCAAATTTGAATGGAAAGTAAAAAGCTAGAAGAAAGCTTCAAAGTGCGATAGAAGAAACTATTAGCATAGAACTTACGGTTACATCTAGACATTTCAACTGTGATGATGAGACCCTGCTAGCAATCTAGTACTGCGCTTAAATCCATAAAGTTTACGTACCATAGAGGAACAAGCTTCTCTCTCTCTGTCTTTTCTACAAATACTTTCATGGTAATTGCACCAATTAGCTGCTTTCACTGGTTCCCAGACTCCATGAATTCAAGCGCCCTACGAGGCTGGCATCCCGCTCCCACCCTGACACTGTAGAAACTTTTAAATGTAGCCGTCTCTTCTACTCCAATAGCTTCATACCTTGCACTTCTCGCCTGTGGAACACCCTTCCTAATTACTGTTTCCCTGAGAGCTATAATCTCCAACTATTCAAATGTAATGTTAATCGACACCTCCAGTTACCTTGATCTACCTACTATCCTTCTCCTCATCCTTTCTTCTATCACTCCTATCTGCTCTCGCTCCAAATCTTCTGCAACCCCCTGCATCCTAGTGGCTTCACGCCTTGCTCGGGGCGTAATGCTTAAAAAAAATTACTATGAAAGTATTTATAGAAAAGACACGGGGAAGCTATGTTACGGCGATGAGAAAAGGGACTGAAGTCGAGATGTCAGGTTAGAACCAATAACATTGAAGATTCTTCTTTGGATTTTATCAAGAATCAGTATAATTAATACAATAAGCCTACTTCGTGGCTGACGAAGTTGTGTATTTGTTCAGTGTGCGCTAATCGTCAGTGTTCTAGCACAAGAAAAATGTCAAGACCTTGAATGCTGGTGTTCAATATAGACGAGCCTTCCCTATTTGGTGAACTGATACGAAGTTTCTAATTTTGTATTTTCCCACTGTTAACAAACATAGTGCACTCGATTTTGTCCTGAAATTAGCTCCCACTTGGACATTTTGTTATAAGTAAAAGCTATACATAATTTTATTCAAAATATTGAACTTAATAAAAAATATGATTCCATTTTTTTCTCGGTCAGGCTTCCCATGACATCAAGATGGCTGCCAGGTTATTTTCACGTCGTAATCAGTTAAAACTCCTCTTACATTTGAGCTAGCGGGATGATTTTTTTTAAATCTTCCAAATTAAATTTGTAATTTTTTTTTCTCATACGTACATTTACAAAAATCTAAAAGATTTTCTGAAATGTTCGCTTAAACTTTAAATACTCGATTCGCAAAGTACCGAGTTTAACCTCAATCTATTCAAATAATAACGAGCACAAAAAGCTTCCTTATTTCCATAGGATTAAGAAAATATATCATATGACGCGGTTTAAGAATAAGTTGGGGGGAATATATTAATGGAAGTCACTTTATAGTTGGGATTTTAAGAATTAAATGTTTATGGGGATAAATACGATATTTAGTGGGACTGATTTATTTACATGAGAGAATGCGAAAATAAAATGGAAAATAAGAATTGGAAAAAATAGGAAAAAAAAAAAAAAGTTATGCCAAGAGGAAAACTTGACAATAATGTTACTCCCCAATGACTGATTCGTTTTCCACATCTTAACAACCCTTTGTAGGTTATTTAAAAACAGAAAATATTTTTAAATTTTTAAATTTTTTAAAAAATAATAATGGTTTAGTAATACAAATCTTACTAATTCACTCATGACATAAGAAGAAGCGATGGATTCATACCTTCCCCAAGGATATTTGCACATGAGTGAAGAAAGCAAAATGGTGATTGGAACTCGGCTCTCCGATTAACAATTCCGAGCCGTTATCCATTAAACCACACGCATATCTAAGCATACTGCATCTGGTATTCCAAATCGATCACCAATCTAGGTATTGACCAGGCTCGACGTTGCTTAACTTCGGTGATCGTACGGGAACCGATATTTCAACGTGATATGGCCGTAAGCTCGTCGTATTAAAGCGGTTATTAACGCGAACGAAAGATGACACCTTCGTTCGCGATAATATCTGCTTCAATAGGGCGAACTTACGGTAACAATTATCTTTGGGAAAGGTATCAATCCATCTCCCCCACCCCAGTTTGAATAGAAGGACGGACTGGATTCTTTAACCTTGATTGCAACCAGTCTACCACAGAAAGAAATGGCAACCTACTGTGGGAAAAAAATCTGCTTTGTTCGTCATGTATCAAAAGATACATAATTGCCCAAGCGGGTATTACGTATGGCTCTTAACTAATTGTTAACGTAAAAGGTGTCTATACGTAATACTAGTTTATATTGAAATTAATAGAAGATAAAATTGTCTTAATAAACTTGACGCATAGATGTGAGTAGTATTTATTATCTGTATCATATTCTAATTAGTGTCTGTGTATGTTAAAAAAATCTTGTGTGTCTTGAACTTTTGGCAATGAATTGTATGTATAAATTTTAACTAAAGTAATCTGTATGGAATTAATGTATTTTTAATAAAGATATTATTTTTTATTACCATGAGCCACATATTTCATGGATGCACATGTTAGCGTGCCATTGAATTGCTCTATACGGAAAAGTATACGTTTGTGTGCAAACATATATATATATAGAGTTAAACCTAGAGAGCTAGACAACCTAGCACGGTTTCACCTTAGCGGATCGTCGGGATTTTTTTCTTTGGGCTTTGGACTTGGATGCTAGACGATTATTTTCGGTTAACGTACATGTTCTTGGTTCTTTCTTTTTTTATACCTTTTTTCCCTTTGGTATTGGTTTGATTATTTGAAAATCCGAAGGTTTTCCGAACGAGTATAGTTTCTTATACTTATAAGATTACTACTACTACTACTAATAATAATAATATATATATATATATATATACTAGCCGAGGTAGCCGGCGTTGCCCGGGTGTACATGGCTGCAATTGTATAACCGCACCTCACCCCTGTATACCCCGCACCCCTTGTTTAGAAATCTGCCTGCGTCCTCTCTTGCATGCATCATCCGTTGGTATACTAAGCTACCTCCATCTTTTATAAGGTATGTCCTTCGCAAGTGTTTGATTGTTCTTAATAAAGAAATTCCATCTATAAAACCTTCTTGTACAGTCGTTGCCCGCGGTTAAATTGTTTCAATGTTTTAGATATTCAGTAAATTTCCTATGGCCGTAATAACTTTCAAATGGTATGACATTGTTCACAAATCTAATAATCAAATCAAGACATGGATGAAGCAGCAGAACGTAATTCAACTGCAAGTACAAACGCATGGACGCCGCCTTCTTCTTCGCACGTTAACTACAAAAATGTTTTATCCTTTTAACGCTTCAATAATTCTTCTCAAACAATCTTTACATCAAAGTTTGGTCGAATGCCAATTTAGGATGGTATCATATGAAGAATCACTAAATGGCAAAAGCAGATATTGTACCTAGTTTGTCACAGATTACGTCCACTTAACTGAAATAATCTAAACCAAACATTCACGCAAGACAATGTGTGTGTCATATGTAGTTTACATGGCAAATTTGGAAAGCATCGGATGAAAAACCAGGGGGTTATGGCCGAAAAACTGGCTTTTTCAACAGTTTTTCGTGGTTTTTCGTTATACGCAGGAAAGCGAGGAGGACTAAAACCACACTATCTTATTTCTTGCATGATGGCAAATTTTTGGCGGCATGTTTGAAGAAAATCAGATAAAAACGAACAAGTTATTCAAGTTTTTTATTTTAAGTCGTACGAAAAACCCGATTTTTTCACAGATTTTGCAATTTTTTGTGTAAAGCCAATGTTGCAGGAAAACTATCAAGCACTCTAAATAAACACCGTAACATGAGCTGATGTTTTGCATTAAGTTGCAAAGAACAAAAGGTCATCCAGTAAAGATTTTGTTCGCGGGTAACTTTACCTTGGTTTTTGCAAAAAGTCGTGCCGACATTCAGTTTGATCGAATTTTCTGCCAAACCTGAAGGGAAGGCTAGAGATTGAAAAGTTGATCTTGACGAACTTTGATAAATTTGCAATATGTGTGTACAATTTCATCGAAATCGGTCCAAAGATGTGGATGTGCATAAATAGCATACAGACAGACACACACACAGACACACAGACACACACAGACAGACAGACAGACACACACACATACACACACACACACACACATACATATATATATATATAATTGTGTGTGTATGTGTGTGCGTGTTTTGAAAAATAAAAATATTAAAAAATTAAAATTTTATACACATTAATATTTTGGAGTTCTTATTTCAATTAGGTTCCTCGACTAGTTTTATATATATATATATATATATATATATATATATATATATATATATATATATATATATATATATATATATAATTGCCAATATCAGTGTGTCACACATTTTCAATTAAAGGACACATCTCTCAATAGCTCATCTCCTTCGATGAACTTTTAAAAGGTAAGCTTAAATATTAATGGGATACTTAAATTCAGCAATCAATTTTAAGTTCTTCTGTAGCTTATTACTACCTATCACAGCTATTCCTTCCTACCTATTGTGATGAAGGCCCAATCAAGAGCCCTCCGTAGGAGTTAGCTTAAAAGCTGCCCGATAGACAAGCCTTTAAGTTAGTATATATATATATATATATATATATAAATTTTAAAAAGTCAACAATAATTCTATTAGCCAGCTAAAATTGAAAATCAACAAACTGATCAACACACATCAGGACAACTTTAAAACTTCACGAAATAATTGTTGACTACAAAGTGGAATAAATGTATGGAACTATAAAAATACATAAACCTAAATTTTCCACTCCATTCTATCATATCTCAAATCCCTATTCCGGTTTATCAATTAACCAAAATCATCAACTAACTCATTACACCATACATACTTAATAAATATAGCATGAAATCAACTCACGAACTAATTCCAATCTTAGAAACACAAAACCCAATAATGAAACCATAGCCACACTTGATGTTGAAAGTTTATTTACCAATGTCCCAGTTAGATTGATATAATTATAAAGAATGTTTACAACAATCTATTTCTCCCTTCACTAAAAATTAGACCTAACATATTACGAAAACTACTTTTGACTTGCACCATTGAGTTTCCCGTCTATGACCATCAAAATAATATATACGTACAGCGTGATGGTGTTTATATGGGTTTAGTTCTAGGATCAAATTTTAGTAACTTCTGCATGGCTAACCTTGGAAATAAGATATTTAACACTTAAAAGAACCTCCATCTACTTAAAATATTTAGATCATATTGTCATCTTAGTCAAAAACATAGACGAAATACAAAAAAAAAAACCTTCCAAATAAACTCCGTCCTTAAGTCCACATACGAACTTAACAATAACAATAAAATCCTTTTTCTTAATCTATTGATAGACACCAATAATAATACATTTACTACCTCCCAATATAAAAAAAACAACTAGCATAAAAATGTGCACTCTCAATTATAAAAGTGAATGTCCTATTAAAAAATCGCCATTATACAAAATTCAATAAACCGTGCAAAAGTTAACTCTTCAACAAGATTTTCTACATTGAATTAAAAAACATTAAACTCTCATTAATGATGACTTCCCTAATTATACTGTTGATGAAAAAATCAGACGAGCCATTAGAAATATTAGCATAATTCAAAAAGAACATAATATTTCCTCAAATAACCCTAAACATATCAACTATACCACAATCAAATACACTCTAACAACAAAAAAAGATGAAAAAAATCCTAAAAAAACATGGAAAGTACTAATATATACCCCACTGACCCCAGCAAAAAAAAAAACAACTAATTATATATTATATTAAATTTAACAGAACCAACTTCATCCTCTACAATAACGCTTCTCCGTCAGTTAGTGTCTTGCAAACGACCAACATTGTATATGAATTTAAGTGACGGTTGGGAGATTGTATCTCTGACAAAAAGTAAATATATATGTTGGCTAAACGACGACGACTTTATCGAAAAGAATTACACTTTATATGTCAAATTCTAGTTCGATCGCACAACATTTAAAGGAACATTTCTGTCCGCATTCATGATTTAGAGAAATATTAATAGACAATACAAGTATACTCCACTACGAAAATAAAAAACAAAAAACTTCAAATTCTAGAAGCACTTCATATAAATAAATGACAGCCAACAGTAAATAAAAATAATTATGAATATAGCAACAAAGTTTTTTAAAAATCTAAATAGTAATTGTTGAAAAAACTACAATTATAACAATGTTTTAAAACACGTAATTACAATTTTTAATAAAAATTCTTACAATATAAATTAAGCTACCTTAATTATATAAACATTTTTTAATTAACATTGCGTATTCATGCGCAGGGAAAAAATTTATAACTGAAAAAAGTATAATTATAACAGAATGTTTCAAAAACCGAAATTACAAGTTTTAATAAGTTACCTCCCTTACATAGCGGTAATTTTTTTAATTAACTGAGCCCGTTCACGTGCGTCAGTTGCATTAATTCATTGTTTTAACAATTAACCGCTGAAGATGATCTTGAAAGAGACTGAAAGTAGAACAGCTATGGTGTCTTTCTCAATCAGTTTAATTCCAGCAGAAAAAATGTCCATGAATATGAGAGGACTAAAACAAAAATAAATAGACATAATATGTCTAAATTATTCAACCATACATACTTGAATGAAGAAGGTTCCCAATACATACATATATATATATATATATATATATATATATATAATTTTCTTTAAAAACGATTGACAAGGTTCCCAATACATATATATATATATATATATATATATATAATTTTCTTTAAAAACGATTGACAAGGTATAGCGGTTACGTTTTTATTTAATTTTTTTTTTCTGAACATAAATTATATAGAAATTGTACGAATGTTCTGTATACAATAGTGCTTTCGGCAATCCTTTTAGTCATTATCAAGGATGATATTTTT